TTTTTTTTTGAGGTAAAGCATCTCTTTGTAGCTTTGGAACCTGTAGTAGAACTTACTCTATAAACCAGATTGACTTTGAAATCACAGCAATCCATCTGTCTACTTCGCTAATCCCACCTAAAAGCAGGGATTAAAGGCATGTACCAATACCACCTGGTTAACTTCATTTTTTGTTTTGTTGTTAGAGGGTTCTTCTTCTTTTATTTTTATGAAAGAATTCTGCTAATTGTATTATTTGGTGGGCAGGCAAATTTTGCTCTTATTTCTTGTTAACTTTGGCTATATTGTCCAATTATCTTTCACCTGTTATTTTTTTACTAAAACATCAGTGTCAGTCTGAAAGATTCCATTCAATGTAACAGCACTTTGTATCTACATCTATTTCTTTTCATGCTTTATTTACTTTGTATCTGAGACTTGATCTTTCGTGGTGTGGGAGGTTATTCTGTCTATGCGTTGCTTTTTTTTTTTTTTTGGTTAATGAATAAAGAAACTGGCTTGACCTATAGCAAGTTAGTATTTAGTTAGGCAGGGAAAACTAAGCTAAATGCTGGGAGAAAGGAGGCAGAATCAGGAAAAAATGAGGGAGCTGCTGCCAGAGACAGACATGTTGAAACTTTGCTGGTGGGCGCACAGATTAATAGAAATGAGTTAAATTAAAATATAAGAGTTAGCCAGCATGAAGCTAGAGCTAATGGTTTAAATAATATAGTTTCTGTGTGATTGTTTTGGGGCTGAACAGCCAGGAACCAACACATGGCCTTATTACAACACTTTGGGACAGTTTTTTGCATTAAATTTATTTAAGAGCCTTTGAGCTTCCAGGACCTGGATGTTTGAGAGTTCTTCATTAACTATGATTTCTGTATGTTTAACTTTTCTCCTTTTTTCATAAGGCCCATATTTTTGTTCATTTATTGGTTCACCATATATTGCCTATGTTGTTCATTTTTTATTTTGTTTTATTTTAATGTATTATAATACTTTGGAAAATTAAAAATAAAATAATTATTTTATATTTATATTTTAACTCCTAATTACCCTATTTCCTCTAATACTGAAAATCTTATTCCCCAAATACCCTTCCAACTATATAGTAGAACATAGTAGCTTGTAAATGTATAATGGTTATAATGGCTACATACTAAAGAAAATGGCAGAGACTTTCTTAAAAGCTGTTAACTTCTAAAACTCTCTAAGTGATGAGTAGAAACTAATCAGAATTTCTTCCATTCATAGTAAAATATTGATGGATCCAACAAGGGGCAATTAAACACAGCAATGAACACAAGAGTACAATTATCATGTCCAGAATCCACTGCTTCACAGATTTCCTTGATTTCTTTTTTGTCCTTACATTCTTTCTGCATCCTCTTTGAGATGACCCTTGAGTACGAACATACCATAGTTATTCTTAACACTTTGAAAACTTTTGAGCCTCTACATTAAATACTAGCCACTACATTAAGGACTTTCTTTGATGAAGGTTGACAGCATTATTAATTTATAGGTATAAGCATAACAAATAAAAAACAATTTCAAAACAAGACTTTAAGAAAAATATCAGCTGTAAGTTACCTCATAGGACATATAACTTCCTCAGCCATGGACTTGTTTGGATTTACTATAGCAGACACCCATTCTCTGCCAGAAGGAGGGTCAGAGATCTAAACAAAAAGTTCTCATTTAGCCTCATGATTGGGATTATTCTACCAGTTAGCACCCTGCTAAACAGATGACCATTATTGTAGATAATGAAATCCACATCTTAGGAAGACTTTTGATAACCTTTTTCTCCATCAGGACTTTGCAGAGAAACTACCAGAACAGAAAAAGCTGTCTAGCCTGGATGAAACTTTTAGCTCAATTCCACCACCATTTCTGTATTTTCTGCAATAGAATGTATGTGTTTATCGATAGTATTTATGAAATCGTTCTGGTGGACAAGCAAGAAAATTGAGAATACTTGTATTTTCTTATGTCTTTGGGACTCACTTATAAAGAAAGTTCCTCTATATGACACTAGTATATTTATTTTATAACCTAGGATTTCTAGAGGAACATTGTTGTGGAATATTATTTTAGTTATCTAAAGATGCGTTATATTTGTTTATGTTGTGTAGTATCACTTTAATGGTATGAAGTAATTAGTGCACACACACCTGATAATGTGAGTTTGGTCTCCAGATAGTGAAGAAAGAGTCTTGCAAAATTTTTCCATATGTGCTTTGTATGGAAAGCACTTGCACTTACCATTCATACTTATCACAGATGTGAAGAAGTAGGAAGAGAAAGAAGTGGAGAAATTATTACTACTAGTGCTGCTACTATGACTACCAATACTCCTAGCAATAGTAGCAATGGTAAATTAGTAGTTGTAGTAGTAATTATGAAAAAAGAACATTTACAAATTAACAGATTTCTTATATTGGGTGAAACAAAGTGGGCTTATATACAGGAATGTCTCTCTTCATAGTGGAGAACCAGAGAACACAGTAGCTGCTTAGTATTTGGAACAGTATACCTTAGTAGTCTTCATCTGATAATGGATTTTATAATTTTCCTAGAAATCAAATCATCTTTAATTCACTTTGGAGATACAAAGATTCAGGATTTTGATGTCAGTAAAATATGACTACACCAATGGCAATGTCAGAGTCATCATCGGGCTACATAAATTTAGCATTAAGACAAGAAAAATTTAGATGAGTAACTCCATAACCAGAGATAAGTGCCAAAAGGACAGCAATCAACAGATTCTGCACAGACTATGTCTGGAACACCATGAGAAGGTGACTCTGATGTATAGGGTGAGTTTTTCTATCTCAGATAACCAAATAAAGAGAATTCCTAACAATTATGCATAGATATTTACCTTATTTGTAATCATCACATGGGTATAGAGATGTGTACCTCATTGCATACTGCAGGTCTTGCCAAGGTAACAATCATTAGTAACACCACTAGTGAAGGTAGAATTCTGAATGGAAGTCCAATCAGAAAAATTTAGTGGCTTTGTGATAGCAGAATAAGGGATCCATTACTAAACCTATGACAACCTAGGCATACCATCTGGAATCTGGTTTGCTTGACTATTTCATAGGCAGTGAGCATGGGGCAGATTTAACTCTCCTTATTAGAATCCAAAAGATTTCTAAAAATCTCTGTATAGAGCCACCACTATGGTGATCCCCTTGAGGGAAAAAAAAATCTCTTACCCAGGTAATGGATTAGGGCTAGGTTTTCTATTTTTATGACATGTTCTTGGTTCTGAATATTTTATGACTAACTGACTATGTGTTAAGTTAGTACTAAGAAACAGCACCAGTCCAATACTTCTGCATTCTTATTAAGCAGTACATTAGAAAGACACACAAATCTCAAGGACAAATTTGTATTATACAGTAGGCTTGTTAGACTTTCTTTAAAAAGTGTTTTCAAATGTTTTATAAGGCACCTGTGCTCACCTTTGTACCATGAAAAATACATTCTTAGGAATAACACAAAAACAAAACTATATATTACTTAATTGATTATAAGGGTCATTAGCAAAGGGAAATTGAATGTTTCTAGAATTCCTTTCATATTTGCACATATTATTAAAGGTGGTCTGGTAAGATTTCAGATTTCAGATACCCTGCAAAATAGTTATTTGCTTGTTATAGGATTTACCCGAAAACCTCCTATTACCATTCATTAAAAATCTATGAATATTGCTTCCCCTAGATACTGGGGCTATTATATTAGAAGGCAGAACTGTCTTACAAACTTCAAAGATCACAGATACAACTTGTAGAAATTAGAATAAATAGAGGGGAATTATTACTATTTATCTACAAAAAGCTGCTCTTTGGTACTTCTGGTAGGGAGTGTGTCATGTATCTTTAAGAAACTGTTTCATGACTAGTTGTCTTTTCTCACTCATCAATCAAGTCCTGGAAAATCAGTTGGTTCAGGCATAGTCTGGTCTTTCACAGTTATATTTTTAAAGGATCACAAATACTTCCTGGCTCCAGGGCAAGGCTACTGAAGAAAGAATATTCTAATTTGCCTGCTGAATAAAAAAGGTAGATGGCCAAAACAAAAATATAGGTTTGAGATACAAAGTTTTTGAATATTTGTGTAATAAAGATGTGAAAAGTTTTCTTCATCTTAGCTTGTTTGCAGACAGAGAGGGTGCTGCTTCAATCAGGATGATGTCTCCAGTAGGTGCTCAATAGTAAAAAGTGAATATATCATTTGTAATACTCAGCAGAGCTATATACTGTTTTATATTGTTAAGTCTGTCATCACTAGTAAATCCTGAGGAATTGTGGGAAATAGTAGTACAGAAGTATTTAAATATGGAGGATCTCAAATGAGACAAAGGTACAATTAATGTAGTCTGACTGGGAATGAAAATACCTCAATCTTCAGATGGAGTGAAAATTCCACAAATGTAGTTGAGATCAAAGTTTTATATGTGTATTCCTTATTGTGTACCTTAGTAAAATATGGTCAAGGCTGTTAAGTCTTTTTAATTCATAAAATATTATCCACATTAAAAAATATCCTTAAATGTAATGAAATGATCTCAGAAAACTAGCACAATAACCTCAATAAGGATACATAATTCTTTCTTACAAATAAGAATAACTTCAGTGAGTTAAAGTAGTCCCTTTTCTGATGTATATTTTGTGACAGCAGGATATGCCTCTATACAACTCACATTGTATGTTTGATATATAAAATTCAAAATCAATGTTATGATAGTATGAATTTTCAAGTAACGTCCAAATGTTATTTATATTTTTAAAAAAATATGTTTTCTGTAGATGTGTGGTCTGACCTCAAGCATCTGGGGAAACAGGAATTGTGTTCAGTTACTGAGATTAGTAATTTTTGCAGCTGTGCCCATTCCTCACTGGTTTGCAATGATTTGCATGCATTCACTGAAAAGCCTTGAGGGTTTCTTCATATACCAGTAACATCCCGAGCATTTATTGCAATCAGAACTCAGCATGGACATAAAGGCCCCTGCTCAGCTCCTTGGACTCCTGTTGCTCTTACTCCCAGGTAACAAGGGAATAAAATGGGAATTTCTCTTACACAGTGATTATTTTTGACTGTCATTTGGTGGAGGTCTTCTTTTATTACTTTTAACTATGTGGGAATTTCTTATGTTTCCATTACTAGGTGCCATATGTGACATCCAGATGACCCAGTCTCCATCCACCCTCCCTGTATCTCTCGGAGACAAAATCACTATCACCTGTAGGGCCAGTCAGGGCATTAGCAATTATTTAAACTGGTACCAGCAGAAACCAGGAAAATCTCCTAAACTACTGATGTATTATACAAATAACTTGGCAAATGGGATCCCATCAAGGTTCAGTGGCAGTGGGTCTGGGACGGATTATTCTCTCACCATCAGCAGCCTGGAGTCAGAAGACATTGCAACTTATTACTGTCAACAGGCTTATAATGATCCTCTCACAGTGATACAAGTCATAACATAAACCTCTGTGGAAGCAGAAGTGAGAGGATGGGATGTCTCAGTTGCTCCTACTCATGAGTCACTCACTAAAACTGTTTCTCAGATGTCACATGAGTTTTACAAAATCCCACACAGAGATATTTATTTTTGTAGAAGAGGCTAAACAGTCCTCTCTGAACCCTCACAATCTTCCTTCCTGTTGATCTCTAGCAATACAAAGTACCAATACATTTTCTGCCTTTACAAAGGACAAAGACATTAATTGTGAAGATTCTTAGTTCTATCTCCTTCTCGTACTTGTACAGAAAAGTAGTAGTTTCTGTGGACATTACAATCACACATTATTTAAAAGCAATAAATTAACTTCTAAGCACCAGCATTTAAATGGCAGTAAAATATTATTAAGAAAAGCTGATAGTAAAAAGAATTCTTGGTTTTCTCACAAAAGCTAGAGCACATGTGTCAGAGAAAGAGGAAGTTTCCTAACCATGGTTGTCTGCAGTGCCTTGAAATCATAGCTGTCTGCAGCATTTCACTTAGGATTCTTCTATCTCCTATAGCCACTGGTCTGCTTATAAGTATCAAAAAATGGAACCACCCTCATATGACTTTCAATCCCACAGTATGAAGTGCAACCTAGATTTGTTTATATAAAATTATAGACAGTAAGGGCTACTTGAACATGTCAGCAAGCAGTATTACTGAAGACCTGATATTCCATAGCACATTTTTAGAAACAAAACACCAACACCACAATAGTGATTCTACAATTCTGATATTTTTTTTGAAATTGTGTTTGGGTATGATGTATTTCCTGTGGTTTTCTTGATGTCTCATTCATATACATGCCTATCTATGCATGTAGAATACACACAAACATAATTATGATTTTATACAAAAGAGAACATGTCACAAGAAATAATATCACATTTCTGGGCTCAACATTTCTGAATTTTGCGATCTTAGGATTTTTTTTCCTTAAATTCTGAACTTTATTAATCAAATTTCTAAACTATTTCAGAAATATTATTTTAATTACATTGAATTTAGGTGAAAACTGGAGACAATATGTATTTAAAAGTTGTTCTTGAAGCTGGAGAGGATGACCAGTGATTAAGATTACCTGATGATCTTGAAGAGGACATGGGTTGGATTCTCAGCACTGACATGTTGATTGACAGCTATTTTCAACATCAGTTCTAGTGGATCCAGCACCCTCTTTTGGCCTCTAAGAACATCACACATGCACACAATGTTCTTGCAACCGTGCAAGCAAAACACACATGTAAAGATACTTTTTAAAAGTGGTTCATGTTATGACACAGATAAAGTCTGTATTCACTTTTATACCAGTTAAAATGAAGGGGCCATAAATAACACTATCCTTTGTGTATGTACAGATTGTATCTTAATTACTCTATATATTTATGTTGACCTATCTTTTTATGGACATACTATCTTAACAAATATCTTACTTCATGTTTTTAAATGCTTATTTTTAAAAAAATGGTGTATATGTGTTATTGTTTTAGATACAAGTGGTGAGAATAGACATTTTGGTATTTTGTGTAATATGAGATAAAAATGCCCAGTGTTCTTTCACTGATTATGACTATGATAATTGCCTAAACTTTATTGACAATATATAATATTAAGGTACTATGTATTAAGGTACTATGTTTGCTTCCTTAGAAGTTTAATACTCTTTAGTAAGCCCAGCCTTTAGGTAGTTTGGTGCTCTGAAGGAATCCATAGCAATGATGGGACTAAGAATTTTTCTGTCTGCGTGAATTAGGGAAGAAACACTCACATATTCTCTTGATTATTATTATTTTTATTCATAAGTCTCTTCTGTCTGACTGGGTAGACTGCAACATGAACAGCCATACAAGAGCATACTGATTGTTACATAAAGTATTTCCTCATACCAAGGTTCCTAACTTAAATTTACATGTCTTACTGAATTGGAAATTGACATGCCTCCATGACTCTAGTTTTACAATATGCATTATTTGCAATACACAATAATACAATAGCCCCACATGAGTCTGAGATATCTTGTAACCCTTGCTGCAAGATCTGCCAGGTAAGCAAATCATTGTTCTCTACTAGGATTCTTCAGGGTCAAAGTACTTCTAACAAATATCTGTGTATTCTAAACTTTATCCTGTACAGTGTCTTTGCTCTAATTCCTACAGAGTACAGGTAACATATTTTTTATCCCCATTAGCTGATTAAAAATGAAATCATGTTAATATCCCATTATACATTTAGGTCTATGTAACTTATTGAAGATTAAAAGAACATGAACGACAAAAAAGCATCTTTTTGTAGCCAAATTTCTTGCTGGCATGCCACCTACTATGGCTACCAAGAAAGAATCAATCATTCTACCACCTATATTGAACATTAATCTTACAAGGAATCCTAAAAGAATCACTATCCAAAACTTTTGTACATAAAACACAATCAGTGGACTGTACTTTAGAGTGTATACCCATCTATCATTAGTTTTGTATATCAGAAAAATTAAGGTCAAGAATGGAAACAAGGAAAACAATCTGCATCTTTTAAGCATTGTTGGGGGCCGTGTGGGTCCAACATAGATTCCCTAACTGGACTGGAACGGAGTCACGAGGAATAAACCAACGCAGCTTACATGATCATCTTGGAAGGGCAAGATCTCTCGTTTATTCTTCAAGCAGTTTATATATCCTCACATGAATTGAGCGGGAAAACACATTAGGTTGTCTCCTAGGCAACCAGGTGAAAGGGCTTTAGTCATGTTCGCATCTACTTGTATGCTAGCAGTCACAAAGGCCTCAATTTGCATCTCTATAAGACATCCTCCAAATTACAAAGGAAGGAAGCACCAAACCTCCTAAACTCTTAAGTCATCAGCTTCAGCCAACATCTCCTCTCAGATGATCTACATTTATAACAAAAGAAATTAGGAGCAGCACATCCTGGCTATTCTTAAACAGAAACAGCTTGTCCGCAGAGTTGTTACCACCTCAGACTGGGCTTATGTCTCTTGTGCCATACAGAAATATGGGCCTACAAAGCATTGACAGAATTAGGGCCAGGCTGCCTCCTAAAGAATTCAATTGTTCTCATTCAATCAATAAACTGAACTTTGTGATCTAAAGGTGGAACTCATAGGTCTTGGATGAAAAACATACTTTTCTATATATTTTTAGTCATCAAAATTCTGCATAAGCTAAGGTTATTATTATAAATTTGAAGATAAAGTTTAGGGAGAAATTCATCTTCATAATAACTAGTAGGTAAAAATGTGGAGAAGAACAAGGTGTAACCAATAAGATAAACACATTACTGTAATATGACAGTGACCACAGAGAGGACCCAAGTAAATGGGAATTACAGGAGGTTTCTGTCTTACCCAGTCCCACAATAAATACACAGAAACTATATTATTTGTAATACTGTTTGGCCAAAGCTTAAGTGTATTGCTAGCTAGCTCTTATATGAAAAATTAACCCATTTCTACTAATCTGTATATTGTTATGAGTCTGTGAGGTTCCAGATCACAGGCTGCAGGGAATTTCCTGACATTGCCTTTTTTCTCCCATTATTTAGGTTAGTTTTTCATGCCTAGCTCTATTTTACCCTATCACAGGCCAAGACAGATTCTTTCTTTATTAACCAATAAAAACAACACATAGACAGAAGGACCTCCCATACCATTTCCCCTTTTCTGTTTAAATAAAAAGGAAGGCTTTAACATAGTAAAATTACATATAACAAAACAGTTATCAAGTAAGAATTACAGCTACTAATTAAACCAACTTCTTATGTTCTTTGTATATTTTGAAGATCAGACCTCTATCTGATGAGGGGTTAGTGAAGATCTCTTTCGATTCCATAGGCTGCCATTTTGTCTTAACTCTGAGATTACATCTTACACCCATAAGAATGGCCAAGATTAAAAACACTGATGACAACTTATGCAAGATAGGTTTTCGGGTAAAGGGAACACTCCTGCATTGATGGTGGGAATACAAGCTGGTAAAAATTCTTTGGATATCTGTATGGTTATTTCACAAAAAATTAGGAAACAACCTTCCTCAATACCCAGCAATACCACATCCAAAGGATGTTTAATCATGCAAGGACATATGCTCCAACTATGTTCATAGCAGCATTGTTTGTCACAGCCAGAACCTGGAAACAACCTAAATGCCCCTTGATGGAAGAATGTATAAGGAAAATGTGGTACATTTACATAATGGAGCACTACATAGAAAAGAAAAATGACATATTGAAATTTACAGGCAAATAGATGGAGCTAGGAAACATCATATTGAGTAAGGTAAGCCAGACCAAGAAAGACAATTATCATATGTACTCACTCATATGTAGTTTTTAAACATAACACAAAATAAAAAAAAAACAGCCTACAAATCACAATCCCAGAGAACCTAGACAACAATAAGGACCCTAAGAGAGACATGCATGGATCTAATCTACATAGAAGGTAGAAAAAGATAGGATCTCCTGAAGAAATTGGGAGCATGGGGACCATGGGAGAGGGTTGAAAGTGAGGAGAGAGGCAAGGAGAGGAGCAGAGAAAAATGTATAGCTCAATAAAATCAATAAAAAAATCTAAACCTTACTCAGGACACTGAAATAAAATCCTTCATCTTGTTTGTTTCTGTCATCTTGATACAAGCTAGTGGCATCTGGAAAGAGGAAACTTCAGTTGACAAAATGCTGCTATATGATTGACATCTAGAGAAATATGTGGTAGAGAGAGATGTCTTGGGTAGCCTAGCAAGTTTGTGGTCAGAGATGAATGCTTTCCAGACACACCACCCTGGCCTAGCAGGTATTTGCTCATGTGCTAGTGTGAATAAGAAAAATACTCCAGATTTCCAATCCTGAATTTCACTTTTTTAAATGATAACAACCCACTAATACTATTGTTTGCACTACAACAGACAGTGAATCAGAATTCAGGTACATAAAGAATCCAATGGAGAGTATGTACTAACCACTGTC